GCAACACACACTCGGTCCCAGACATGTGCCAGGGGCCATCAGGACTGCCTGCCCAGGACTAAGCCTGGCGGCAGCACATAAGCAAATGACTGAAGTTGTCTTGAGGGCTGGCCCTGCCTTTTGGGGAAATGTGAGACCCACCAATCCAGGCCCTGGCCTGTCCCGGGCATGTGGGCTGGGGCCATCTGTAAGCAGTTCCTTTCTCTGGGTCAATAACCACCCACTTTTCAGTCTTAGAGTAGGAGTGCCCTCCCAGGGTTGCCCCTCGCAGCCTGAGCGCTAGCTTTCTGTCGCAGGCCCAGGGGCATTCCTTAGGGCAGTGGTGGGCAAACCGCGGCTCTTTGGCCCCTTGAGTGTGGCTCTTCCACAAAATACCACGGCCTGGGCGAGTCTATTTTGAAGAAGTGGCATTAGAAGAAGTTTAAGTTTAAAAAATGTGGCTCTTAAAGAAATTTCAATCGTCGTACTGTTGATGTTTGTCTCTGTTGACTAATGAGTTTGCCGACCACTGCCTTAGGGGTCATACAGAGATAGCTGGGCTCCCATACCTTTCCTAGACCTCTCCCAGGACCTCCCTACCTCCATGACGAATTCCACTCTCGGCCCAACCCCTTCCAAGCCCAGGTGGGCAGACTGTGTGCCAGACGGGAGGCAGGCATCCCCCGGGCTTGCCTCCAAACCCCGAGGACAAAGGTGCCCGGAGCTTTGGTCTAAGTGAGGTCCAGCTGAGGGTCTAAGCCTTTGTTAGGGTCTCAGGAATAAGACTCCCTGGCTCTCCGGGGTCAGAGTGCTCTTCTTTCCTGCATGGGCCACCAGTTCCTTCTTTAATTCAATGCAAAACACCTCCAACTTGAATTCGAATGTATTCCCTCTTGCTGCCTCAGTGGGATTTAGTGTCCTTGCCTTCCTGCCACTCCCCGAGTCCTTTCTTCAGATCCGAGATAATTACAGGCACCAGGTGGACGAATCAGATCCTTTTGTAAATCTCCTCCTGATGTGTATGGCAAGTGATTTGTATTTTCCTAAATCGGCACACGGTACCTGTGTGGTTGGGTTCCGTATACGCCACTGTTTCAAAAATAGGTGTATTTGTTTTAAACTTGACAAGTTACAGAGCGCTTTCTGTTTTTCCCGCTGAGAGTCAGGCGGACGAAGGCGGGTAGTACTCGCAGGCCTGGACTCTGGCAGGTGAGGGTCTGACACCAAGGTCAGGGTTATGGTCACACTCAGGTCTTCTGACTCCAAGTCCAGTGCCCCGTCTCTCCACATCACAGCTGCACCCCCTGTGCATACCAACTGGACAAATAAAGCACAGAAGGTGCTGGTGAGCAGGGGTGAGGGGTGAAGAGGAACCTGCCTGGGATTAAACCACTACTGTGGGTGCTGCCCAGAGCAGCGGATGGAGAGACAACCCTTCTCCCCACAGTGAGCCCCCAAACTGCCAGCCTGGGGCAGGGCGTGGCCCAAGCCCTTAATACTCGCAGCTTCTGCCTCAGAAATGGCAGGGTGTTTGCAAGACATTGTCCTCTTATGAGACAGGAATCATAATGTCCCATGTCTAAATCTCAGCACTGAATTATTCAGCAACATGTACTGAGACCCTACACACGCACGCACGCACACACGCACGCATATTCCATCGAGTCAGTAGCAAGGTGCCCTTGCCAGTTAAGAATGGTGTGCCATCCCCTTTTCCTGACTCCATCCTAGTGTGGGAGACCATTTCTGGCCCCTCAAAAGGAGTCTTGGCGCTTGGTGCCCTCCATCAAGACAGAAAACTGAGGTGCCTTCACAGGTCAGGACCTTGGCCTCGTGCTTTCTCCCCCTGCCTCCCCTCTCGAGGTCGTAGCTTGGAGGGGGAGGGGTCCTCAAGTAACCCCCTTTCCTGTAGAGCCAGCCAGCGTGCAGTATGACCTTCCTCAGGCCTTCCCACCTGCACACAGAACAACAGCTGCTGAGAAGCTGGCTTGCAGTGTGGTGGTCCCCTCTCTCCCCCAGCGGCCAGAGTCCTTTGCTCGGAGCCTTTCCCAGGTGCCTGGCCTCCGGAGGGCTTGTTTGGGGACGTGAACGTGCAGGGGGAGGAAGGGAATTGTTGGCTGGAACACGGGCACGTCTCCTCCGTGCCCCCATCCATCGATGGGTCAGGTTCCACTGCCCAGAAGCCTGGAGAAAGGAGGCCTGCCCGGAACTGGCTGCTTCGTGCCTGCGACTCTGCCCAGTATTCTCCCGGGCGGGGGGGGGCGGCACCTGCCAGGTGGCTCTGAGAGGGGTCTCGGGCCTTATGAGCAGCAGGTGTATATGACATAGGGGGCTGGGGCGGTAAAGCTGCATTCTAATACAGCGCCTTTAGTGCCATTTGATGGAAGATGGCTGAGCAGGAGAGGGGTTATACGGGCCTACGAGCTGCTTTTGGCCACATTTTCTTCAGACCAACTCTTACACTGCAGGCCTGGGCGCACAGGAGCGGGGAGGTAGCAGGGATGGGAAGAAGGCCTGCAGCCCTCTAGTCTCTGAGTCCATGGAGGGGCCGTTTCTGGGCAGCATCCTTCTGTGGGCGTGCTGCATCCTGTCCCCAGGCTGCCTCTGCCGGTGGATGGGTCTCTGGGTAGTTCTCCCCCTGCTGGAGGGAGCCGAGACCGCAAGCTCCCTTGTCGCAGCCCAGCTTCTAGAGCTGTGATGGGCCTGCCCACTCTCTTCCTAGATCCTCATCGGCAAAAAAAAAAAAAAAAAAAAAAAAAATCTATCCATCTTCCACTGGGGGCCCCCCCCCACCCCGAAACAGAGCAGGCTAGCCACTTGTTAGTTACTTTGCGTAGGACGGGGGTCAGCTGCCTGGGTGACCCAGGAGTCCACGGTCTGAGTGCTCGCCACTTTCCCTAGCCCAGAGGAGAAAAAGTGTGCGAGACCAAGATAATTCTGTCTTTTGAACATCTCGGCTTGATACTTGCCTCCCTGAGTGAGAAAGGACAAATGTTATCTGCAAGCTTAATCTTCTATATTCAAAAGCCCCGTCCCTTTTGTCTGCCAGTGCATTCCCAAATCAGCCACTTATTTGCTCTAAGCCTCTGTGATTTTTTTTTTTTTTCTCTCTCTCTCTTTAACCTGTTCTTTTCATCAGCCCGTTCATTCACTTCCCGGCTACAGCTTCCAAGAGGCCTCATGTTGGGACCTCCCACCCAGAGGGCAGGCATCCCAGGTAGCAGCTCCCCTTTTCTCTGCTGAGTCAGGAGCCAAGCAGCCTGGTTTGGTCTCTTTTGAACCTTCTTGTCCCCAGTCTCCTCCCAGTCTGGCTTGGGTGCAGGGTCAATCGGTCTCGTCCCATTCCCAGTGACGGGTTGGTAAAAGTCCATCCACTTCTGGCTTCTCCAGCCCCACCAGAAGCGGGGGACTGCAACCACGGTCCCCTGGGCAGGGCCATGACCAAGAGGGGTGCACAGGTTCTTTCCTTCTGCCATGAGGGCAGCTAGCCACGGGCAGAGAGGGCAATGCTGAGGGGGCAGGAGGGAGATGGGGAGGTTCGGCCCCTTGGAGCCGCGGGAATGCACGGAGCCCAGATGTCGCCCACGGTTCTCCGAGAAGGCAGGTTAGCTGTCGCCCAGACGTCGCCAGCCCCAGTCACCTTGAGCTTGAAAATCAATGAGAACTTAGCTTTTGCAATTAAAAGAAAAAAATGTTCCCCATCCTGGAAAATAGAACGTTTAAGCTACGGAGGGGACCGGACGATGAGACAAAATTAACCTGGTTGGCAGCCGCGGCTCTCGCGAGGGAGGGAATGATGGGAGTGGGGAGCCCGGGCCGTGTCTCCTCCTGCTGCCCCTCACCCACCGCTCTGGGGATTCGGGGCCCAGAGTCCCCACTTGCTGTCACAAAGGTACATTCCCTGCTCTTTTTGTCAGCCTGGAGTTTATATCTGAAGAGAACTAACAGGAAGCAGGCATTTCAGTCAGATATGCTTTAGCTATAAACTGGTTCAGTCCATATGCTCTGCATTCATATTTCTGTCTCTTTTTTTTTTTTTTAAACAAAAGGAAAAAAAGTTTAAATCCCCCCTTTCCTTCTACTGCAGGAGGTGAGTGTGTGGGTGTCCCATAGAAGTATCATTGGCATTCACCCAACGTCGGCCCCCGCCTCCAGATCTGCCATCCCCACCCCACCCCCTCCCTCCATCCCTTGCTCTCCACCCCAAAGGGGAACCCTCTGCCACCATCATTCCAGGTCTGTGGAGATGCCCAGATTTTCCATGACATATCCCATCCTTCGACCACGTTCCGTACGGACGACTTTCATGCAGGGATGTCAGCGGGAGGGGCGGGTGGGGAGGGAGTAGCCAGCGGGGAGGGGGGGAAGTGGTTGGGTACGGGGCTGGAGATCTTTTTTTGTCTTAAAAAAACAAAACAAAAAAAAAAAAAAAAAAAAAAAAAAAAAAAAAACAAGCAAATTTGTCATTTAATGGATCCAAAAACAAACAAAAAAAGAAAATGTGAAACAAATCAAAAACCCCCTCCCCGAAGATTTTTTGTTTTTGTCCTAGACAACAAATTGCTTTGTTTCCTGTCACGTTTTAATATCAATATTAACACAATGTGTAGTCTAAAACTAGTTCCTTTGTAGTTTGCATGGGATGTGAATGCTGTCTCAACGTGCCCAGACCTAGACAAGACTGCATGAGCATCAAATCAGATGTGAACAAAAATCTCTCTCTCTCTCTCTTCCATATATATCTCTATTTCTATTGTGATAACTCGGTGGGCAGTGGAGCACCCTCCGGTTGACTGCCGCAGTGTGTTGAATGGTTGTTTTTTTTTATTCTCTCTATTTTTGGAGCTCCGAGCTTCTTAGTAGTAGCCTGGGCTGAGTATTCTTGAGTCCCTGCTGATGTTTCCGCATGGCCTTGGTTGAGTGTTAGAAGTTGGGCCTCAGCTGTTTTTTTCTCTAGTGTTTGGCTTGTTTGGCATGCCTGGCTTCTGGCCTCATACCCAGCTCTATTCTCTGCACACCAGTCCTGAATAGCTACAGTGCTCAACCGAATTTTGGCGCGCCCGCTTCCCCGGCAGGCTCCAACCCGGCGCGGCCCGGAGGCTTCCCGGGGGCCAACAGCCCAGGACCCGTCGCCGATCTCTACGGCCCTGCCAGCCAGGACTCCGGAGTGGGGAATTACATAAGCGCGGCCAGCCCACAGCCGGGCTCCGGCTTCGGCCACGGCATCGCTGTAAGTACCCGCCTTCCCCTCCCCGCCTTCCCGTCTCCTCCCCGCCCATCTTCCGTGGCCCGTGGTGGGGAGGGTGTGCCGGGAACGCCCAGAGTTGGGAGCCGAGGAGAAGGCGGTGGGTCCCCATCCACGTCCTTTCAGCTCCTCCATTCGGGCCTGACCAGAGCGAGCGCCCGTGGGCCGCGCCACACGATGGCGTGGAAGGCGCGTGGGCAGGGCAGGCTCAGAGCACCACGCCATCACCGTCAGCCCGTGCCACCCTGAGCCACTTACGTGGCCCACCACTTCGCTGGCTGCAGAACAGAAATAAGCATGCCTCTCTCAGAGGCCTGAGAACTCATGGGAATAGGATACGTCACCTGGTGGCACATAGTCAGTCCTCAGTATGGGCCCCTGGTCCTTGATCTGTGCCTTCTGGAGACGTGGGCCCGGACGGGGCGTGTGGTGCAGGCCCCCTCCCCGGAGGTCTCCCTTGCTAACGTTTCTTACAGTTTCCAGGTTCCAAGTAAGTTCCCACTCGTGTTCTTTAGCTGTGCCCTCCCCACCAAGGCCAAATGCATTTGATATTTGTAATGCTCTGTGGTTCTATAATCTGACTAATCCAGGCCATAGAAATTTGCTTAACAGATTTGCATGCTGTTTTCAGATTGTATTGTTCTTTCCCTCCCGGTGTGTGTGAGCATGAATGTGCCTGAGCCCACTCACTCGATGCCCCTTCCATTTGGAAAACAAAATCAGCCAACCTCTGCCCTAGCCAACCTGGGCGTCTCGGAGGCAGTTTGGCTTGGAGCTGAAATGGGAGTGTCTGCTGTCCCAGCTCCTGTCCTTGTCACCAGAGCCTGCCTCAGGGCCTGCGCTGGGGAGAACAGAGCAAGTGCAGACAGTGTGGGACACCAGGGCCTCTGGGTTTCTGCCCCTGATTGCCAACACTCACACACACACACACACACACACACACACACACACACACCAGCCCACACACACACACACACACACACACACCAGCCCTGGCCTCTGTGGTCTGGGTCCTTGTTCAATTCCACTCCCAAGCCAATATCATTTAAGTCAGTAGATTGATGCATCAAAACCGCTCAGATCAGCTGTAGGACCAAGTCCAGAGTACTGTTACTCAGCTGAGAGCTGCATCCGGTTGGGAGACCCTCTCTCACCACGTAGGACACAACTCATTCCCATCCTCAGCACCCAGAAACACGGGCCCTGTGTGTCCTCCAACACCGGGGTCTCTCTGACCCGGGGGCTGTTTTCAGAGATAACCACAGAGCACCGCCTCTGGGCTGCACAGGACTCGCTCTCTCCCCAGCTGGAGCCGCTGGGAGCCCAGAGACACTGTTCTCTTCGCCCTCCCAGGGGCTCAGGGCATCTGGGGCTTGAGCCTCCATTTCCCATCACCCCCCGCCCCTGAATCTGGCTCTCGATTTTCCCCCGGGCACGCCGACAGGCGTGGGGTGGGAGCGGGGCTGGCGGGGTGGGACGGTGTCTCAGAATTACATATTCATGCTGGCAACCACAGTCTAGTCCCAGACATCATTTCCTCTCCCAGAATATGACAATCTGTTCCCATGTATAGCGTGCTGATGACCTTAACAATTGTGCAATTTTAGGGACCTTTGATTGCAACGGCCTTTACAAATGGATACCATTGAGCAGGTGCTTTCGTTGCCATCTCACTCTGAGGTATTACCTTCTCTGCCTACGTCTCCGCCCCGCCGGGCCTTCCGTAGTGCCTGCGCCCCGGGCATGCAGTACGCACAGGCCCGGCCTCATCACGTCTACCTCTCTCCTCTCTCTGGACCTTTCTCGTTGGGGGGAAGGGGGATAAAAAAAAAAAAAATCCAATCTTTTCATCTTTCATCTTTCCTTTCTTCAGCTTTAATCATGACGCTCCCCCCACACACTTTTTATTTTTATTTTATTATTGTCTTCTCTTTTCTCGGTTTGGTTCTTCTGCTTCCTTTTCTTCATCTTCCCCACCCCTCCTCATCGTTCTTTGTCTGGAAATACAATCAGGAGTGTGGGAAACTGGAAGGCGATCGCCTGTTGTGCCCGTCCCCGGGGAGCGGAGGCAGGGACGCGCTGGGCTCCCACCAGGCCTCCCCCGCAGGGTCCCGGGAGCTGCCCTCGTGGGGTGCCGGGCCTCTCCGCTCCCCAGAGCTCCTGGCCTCGGACAGTGGGGTTCCTGCCGTCCAACGGCCCAGACTGCAACTTTGAGCGAAAAGAAAACATTTTTTTTTGCCAGTAACGACTGAATAATTACCCAGATTACCGCTCAAAAAGCAAATTAAATTAACGATATCACCTGCGTAACACGGGCTTGGATCCCTGCCAGTTTCCTAACCTTTTCAACTGAGCTCGAGTTAATTAAACATTTTTTAAATCACTTTGACGGGCCGTGGAAAGGGTGGCGTGGAGGAGAGGGAGGCCGGGGCAGTCAGGGAGGGAGCCTCTTGTCACACGCTCTCATTTGGAAAATGGGAACCTGCCATCCTGGGGGGGAGAGTGGGAAGCCAGAGGGGTGCTGTCGGGAAGCTGGTGCGTTAGTGTGGGGGCCCTGAGACGTGGGTCTCTCTCTCTCTCTCGGGAAGAGGGGGGTGGCAGCGGAGCCTGGGAACGGGGCCCACGCAGAAAGCCCCAGCCGGGGCGGGGGCGCCTGTCACTCCGGGAGGGGCCGGGCTGGAGCTGGTGGCCACTGGTGTGCAGTCCGTGGGATTCCTCTCTCCTCGAGGGGGACCCAGTTGAGCTGAGCTCCATGAATTCCTCTTGGATTTCTCTAACGTTGCTGCTAAGGAATCACCTCAACTAACCCAACTACCTCTCTTAACCCAATAAACCCGTGTGTGGACGCTCCCGGCCCTCGCTCCACCGCCCTTAGAGCGCTGGCCCAGCCATGGGGAGCCAGAGGCACTAACAGCCTGAAGGAGAGCTGCTCCCCACTAACGAGGCTGAGGTCGGGCCCCAGAGGGAGGCAGGGTCCTCTGAGAGCCGGGCCGACGGAGAGATCCGGGGACGTTGGGGACTGAGGTGGCTGCAGCCCTCTGCGGTCACATGACCAGGGGATTGTACAAACACGAGGTGCAGCAGATCCCTGGGGGGGGGGGGGGGGCTGCCAGCGCTCCCCCTTCCCTGGTAAAGGAGGGTGGTGCAGGGCTCTGGCCACCGCCTCCTAGGCCACCCCAGCCTTTCCATGGGGTGGGGGAGGGGCAGGGCTGCTCCCAGCCCATCCTCCATCCAGCTCTGGGACTCAGTTTCCGCAGAAGGAGGAAATAACAAAGAGAGTGGAGGTAGCAACCCGACCCCCCCAAAAAAATAAAAATAAAAATAAATGGATGAAGGGAGTCAACTGAGCCAGGTGGCTGCACCAAAAGGCAGGCTTCATTGCCTTACCCCCCCTCCCGGGGACCCAGGCCTCCGCCCCCTCCCCCCCCATCAGGGAGACTCAGCTCTCACACCCGTGACTGCTGGGCCTGTTCCATTTCCTGTAACAAAGCTGGTTGTTCATTGCGAATGTTTCGTAATGTCCTGACCTTGACTCCTAGCTTGATTCCTAGGAGTCCTTTTAGTGGGCACTGGCATTTTCAGTTCTGGGCCGTCATTGGTGGGTAGCTAATCAAGGCAGACATTTTTCAAACATGGCGGCCCTGAGAGCAGATGCTTAACCAGAGAAAGCATCGCTGCTCGGCGTGCAGTTCACCAGGCCGGCCCACAACCAGCATGACCGCCTGGGCGGGCCACACTTCCTGTCATCCATCCCCTCAGGGACCCCACAGCTCTGCATCCACCCGGCAAAGGGAGCTGACTCGCTGCCCTGCCCCGGGCCCCGGCCTCGGCCGGCTTAGACGTCAGGGTTCCTGAGCTGTGCCCCAGCGAGCTGTTAGCCAGGCCAGTCTCAAGCATGCCCAGGAGCCCGCGGCGTGATACTGTGCAAGCGTAGTCGGAATAAATGGGATACTTGCCTGACACTTCTTTCTCCTCCCACCCCCCACTTTTATGTTCTCTTCCGGGCACCCCGACCTTCCGTACGCTGCAGAGCATACCTGGATGTCCAGGCAAGACTGGGCGAAGTTTCTGAGCGGCCCTTTGTTTAGGTGATGTCATCAGACCTGGACCCCCACCAGCCTCACTCCCCATCCCAACCAGAGATGGCTCGCTTCGGATCGAGGGTTGACACATCTCATCATCTCACGAGTCTGCTGTAATATAAGACAACAGCTTTTCACTGTGTATATATAACCATGATTTTGGTTTTGTTTTGTGTTTTTTTGTTTTGTTTTTCTTGATGGTTTCCCTTCCCCCTTCTCTCTTGCCCCTTCTCCTTTGAAGTCTCTTTGAATCACATTGAGTAGTGATTTTTGACTTAGTCCAAGTAGTCCTATAGCTTTAATATCTAGTTAAAAAGCTAACCATAGTATAATTGTTATATTAAGGTATTATTTTTTTCTTTAAAAAAAAACAACAGCGCTTTTTTTGCTTGTTTGATTCTGTTCTCACTTTTAAAGGATGCTGAGATGGTAATATGACTCTCAATATTTTGGTACCAGTTCTGAGACTGTATGGATTTTCAGGTGCAACTTGAGCGCACACTGGGGGGAAGCGCGGGTGCGAGGCGCGGAGGGGAGGGGGGCGCTGGCTCGCCACTCGGGCTGTGTCCCCGGAGTGAGATGCAGTAGGCTAACCACAGGCTACGCGGTTCTTTTCGGTGATGTCTCTTTGTTAACCTAAGTATATCTATCTATTTTCGGCAATAAGGTAAGGATGACCGTGTTTCGAGTGTCCTCCTTTTCTATAAGTGCTTTTTTTCTGTTGAAAGAGGTGATATAAGGTTTTTTGAAATTGTGACTTCTAAAAAAAAAAAAAACTGTTGTAAATACAATTCCATTAACTACATAGAAACTTATTAAGAAAGAGAGAATCAGAAGATATTTTTGTGAGGGAGTCGGTCCCAGGCAGCTCGATGCTCTGTGGGGGGAGGAGGGGGAGAGCCGGGACGCAGTGGATTGCGTGCGGAGGCTGAAGGACACCCAGCTGCCAGGACGACCCCGGAAAGAGTTGGAACACTGTTTAGCTCCTCTTTGTCTGTGTGGAAGACTCGATTAGTGTCATACCAGCATATTAACCTCTCGTCTGTGCACAGCTTCAAACGTTACCGTCTAGTTAGGTTTTTATTTAAAATACGGAAAACCGCTTTTCCCAAGACGTTTTTTAAAGAAAAACAAAGCTACAATTTTAATATTTAACATATTTAAAGTTTCAAAGCACATCTGTTTGGCTTGGGGGGGGTGGTGGGGAGACATCCTTTTTTCAGTCTTAATTTTTCAATATTTGATCATTTTCTATTGTCCAATCATTTCAGCACCTCCGAAGGGCCCTGGGGACCCTTCGCCTCTCTTCGCCCCTCCCCTCCCCCTCCATCCCTCACCCGCCCCCAGCTCTGAGGCCCCCAGGCCAGGAGTGGATAAGCCTGCATTACTGAAACCTTTTTCTCCATTCACTTTCTATTTACAAATTAGGAAAGCAACCTTTCGGTTTATATATTATTTTTAATACCTCAGTGCTGCAAGTATCACCAGAGAGGCTATGGAAGAATTTTTTTTTTAATTTATTGTAGATGTAAACAGAATTTTAAAAATAAAAAGTATAAACATCGCTGCACTGTGACTGGTGGGAAAAACTGACAGTTTCCTGTTTGCACAGGTTAGCATTTGGCTGTTATAATATATGGTCCTCGGTTGGGGAGAGATACTTATGATGAAGGATATTTTTTAATTTAACTTTTTTTTTTTTTAATATTGGTAATAGGTCGGCAACAGCAACTATAGAAGTACAACTCAATAGATGGCATTAAAACATATTGTAGCGTGGATATATATTTTTTTCTTTTTTAAAAATGTGATATTGCCGTTTTATTAATATTTTTTAAATTGTTACGTTTATAAATTTGGTACTTAAGGCACAGCCAGTAGGAGACACTGAATGCGACATTTATTATAAAGAGCTGCTGCACTCCTATTTTTATAAATTTTCCTAACAAAGTAGACTGACGTAGAACTACATTCACGGACACGGTAGGGCAAATGCATCTTCAAACAAAAGGCTCCGACATGCCCACTCAGAAAGAAAGGAAAAGGAGCCTTTCCCCATTCTAATTAAAACAACAACACTTACAAATAATCATGTGATTTGTTTTTCCAATAAAACATTGGGTTGTTTGGTGAGATTTTTTCGGGGGGAGGGGGGGGTTCTTTCGATTACCAAGCAACCAGGTTACAGTAAAAAGCTGGGCGCTTTTAACATATCCAAACCTGTTCACGTAATAACATAACAAAATAGGCATTTTATTGAAGAAAAACAAAAAAAAAGACAAAAAGAGACAGTCAATTCCCAGAAACTCGGTGTCTAGACTAGGGGATTCAATTACCGTTTTGTCCATGTTGGTGATGTACTGTACTACCCTGCCTTTCTCTGCATCCCTCACCGGAGACTCTTTGTTGATCACTGTCTGTTAATAATGTATAAAATGGCTATCTTGTAAGCGTGCTGTCCTGGTACTAGTATAGTGACTTTTTTTCTCCTCTTTCTTCTAGTACATATTGATAGGTATAATGTAATTAAGGTTTAAAAAATTTAGACATAGTTATTCAGATTTAGGACCAGTAAGGATAGAACTTTCTCTTATTTATGGGGGGGAAAAAAAAAAAAAACATAATTTGAGGGCAGTTTATTCCTTTTTTTTTTTTTTTTTTCGATTTCAAGTTTTCGTTTTGTTTCTCGCTGATCTGATGTGGTTTCAACTAACCCAAGGTCTCACGATGTTCAAATGCCGGCTGACGGCCACGGCGTTTCGTAGATTCCCACCCGTCCCGCCCCGCGACTGTGAAAGGGGCGTGCCATACTACCTTAAATGCTAACGCTAGATATGCAAAACTGGATTTTTTTAATTTATTTTTTAAAAGAGGGAGGCATGGTATATTCAAATGATTTTACTAAGAGAAAAAAAAATATTTTTTTAAGGATGCTCAGAAGAAATTGATAATCTGTGTGACTATGTTTTAGATGTTTATAATACCTTCTGAAGAGACCCAGTAGCCCATAGCACAAATCTCGTGGAAATCTGGTACGTTTTCATGTGGCTACCTAGGTCAAGGCTCACGTTAGTCTCTCCCCTCCCCCTCCCCCCCCCCCCCCGCCCCCCACTCACCTAGAAGTCCATTTGGAAAGATTTTTGTAAATTTTGTTCGCACTGACGTTCAGCCTCGTCTTCGTTTCAATCAAGCCCAACGGCGAACCCGGGAACCGCCTTTTGCGCCTTCCCTGGGGGAGGAACCCTCTCGGCCGATGGCTTTTCCCCGGCATCATAAAATAATCATAGAACAGCCACCGGGTGACTCTCTGGCTTACAGATCCATCTGCCCGGGAACCCCCCAGGCTCCTCTCCTTCAGGCAGAGGAGAGTGAGGGGCACCAGCTCCCGGACCCGGTGCCTGTCCCGCCCGGGGATGACCCAGCGCGGGGTCCCCTCTCCGGGGCGGTCGGTCGCACACCCGGTCCGTGGCCTTCCTCACACCCACTGGGAAAACCAAACAGCCTCTCGCTCCGCCGTCCCGGGCGCTCACGGGCTTGATTCAAACGAAGCCCCGACAGGCCTTTGCGTTTCTATCCTCCATATACCCTTCATCTTAATTTGAACTCGCAGCTTGGACTTTAAGGTAGCATGGCTCTTTGCTGTCAATCTAATGTCTCACAGCACAGCAATTCACAGCCAGTGAATGTTACACACATCTTGCTAGACTAGTTTCAAAATCATTGGGTAACTGTTGGTTCTAATGACCTGAAAGGTGTTTAGTTTTTGTTTTCAGTTTTATTTTTATTTGGGGGAAGGGGGGGTCTTTTTTTTTCTTTCTTTCTTTCTTCTTTTTTGGTTTTTCATTTGGGGATTTTGGGGAAAAAAAAAGATTTGTTTGGGTTCCAAATAGAAAAACAAAACCTGTCTTTGATCTTTAGTGCAAACGAGGGCTAGGGACTTAGCCACCACCACACTGCTTCATTCTGCCATTCACTCACTGCAGCGTCATCAAAAAACAAAGCAATATAGTTTACTACATGTTTTCTCGAAGGTCAGCCATGCTTTCTGTATTATATTGCATATGAAATTGTTTACAAAAGAAACACTAACTCATACTTCTCTTTATCGGTTGGGAGTGGCATGCAGGGACAGAGGGAGCCTTGGGGGTGGGTTGGGGAGGGGAGAATTTTGTTCTGAATGTGCTTCACCAGCCAGGCTACCTCCCAAGGAAGATAAAAAAAAGAAAAAGAAAAGAAAAAAAGAAAAGCAAGGGGGGAGCAGAGGGGCAGACGCAGGCAAGCACATTGCAGAGAGACACTGGCGGCCTCCCCCGCCCTGGCCCCAAGCAGAGAAGCAGCAGCGGTCAGCTCAGCCCAGATCTGGGCGCAGACACTACACAAGGAAACACCACCTTACGTTAAGCAATACTTTAATACTGTACTATGTTTGTTTTCTCTTCCTTTCCTTTTTATTTTTTTAACCAAAAAAAAATAATAATAATAATAATGTAAGTAAACTAAGACACAAAGAAATCCCACCCCTCCAGGGAAGCAACCTTAATCCAACCACTCGGCTATCGGAAATAATCAGAATGTATTGTGGCAGACAGGATGTCATTCCCCGGAGGCGGGGCAGGGGAGGCGGGGCGGGGGCCTGGGGGACAAGTCCCAGGGCCCCCCGAGAAGGCGCTACTGTACCTGTACATACCGAACCATCCGTGTGGAATCTGTGCGTGTCCTCTTGAGTAGCGTGGGCTAGCCAATCTGCCGTCCATGGTGTGTTGTAAACTCGGAATTCCATATGTAATAGGATGCAAGTCTAAGCGTTTCATGTGGACATAAATGTATCTCAATAAAACTTTCCCTAGCACTGTGGCTGACCTCACCCTTACTTTTATACTTTAGTATGAAACTGATGACAACTTTGGTAGTGAGTATTTTTTTTATATATATACATATATATGTATCTATATATATATATATCTCAAGCATCTTTCAGGTCTTTGTGTGTGGCTTTTCTTAAAGCCCTGTTGTAAAAATTACTATGTGGATGGCAGTCTCTCACATCACAGATGTGGAAAGTATAATTTTATATTTGTATTTTCAAATAAATAAGTTTGTGAAAGGTTTCCATCCTCTACTGTGGTCCAGAAATCAATGTGTTTGTCTGACAAAAAAAAAATAAAATAAAATAAAATAAACTGTTTTGAACAGAGTCGTTCGCTGTTCTTTCGTTTACAAAGTCCTGTGGGAGAGCTGTGTTTGGGAGGTTGGGGATATCACCCAGTCACACCCACCTCCCTCCCCCTCAACCAGACTGTGGGCTACCCGCAGTCTGTGGGCGCAGGACACTGGCCAAATCCCATACCCCTCGAGTTAGGGGTCTGTCCAGGAGGATAACTTTAAACCCTCGAGAGTTTCAAGTTTTGCCTCGTGGAGAGAATTTTGTAGAATGACAAAAGTAAAGGTGTAGAAACAGATCATCTATGATACTTTCACCTTCTGGCTATCAATAAGTGAGAGAAAGGGAAAGAATTGAGACAGTTTGTTGAGGGCGAGTCCTAAGACCTGGTGGTAGCAGTCAAGCCATTATCTGAATCGGGGATTCCTTGGCCGGTAAGCATGGAGATAATGAGCCAGGCTGAGGGGGCTGGTAGGGGTGAAGGTGAGCCTAAGAGTGTCCTCGGAGCTGCTTCCTCCAGGCCTTGGGTAGAGCCCTAGGCTCCAGGGCATGGCCTTCTCCCCTTCCCTGCTTATTCCAGCTTCATCTTAGGGGCCAAGAGGAGAAGTTGGAAGGGGTCTGTCCTTATCTGAGTCTGGAGACAGGAGAATTGGGTCCCAGGATCTCACCTTGTGTGTTCACAGGCAAGGCGTCAGCACTCGTCTCTGCCTTGTTACCTTGTTTGAGGACAAGAGAGTACCATCCCTGCTGCCCCACAGAAATTCCAATAAAAGTCCTCACAGGTTTTGTTTAATTTTTTAAATATTCAAGGTTTACAAGTGCCCTCAAATTAGCAAGGACAAGGGTAATGACGGTTATCGGTGTTACTGGATCTGAAGACTTATCTAAGTCACTTTGCTCTCCCCGGAGTGGCAGAGGAATAGAAAAAGTCAGGTAGATTGCCCTGATCAGTGGGGGAAAATAAATAATCTAGAACTAGAAAAATAAGAACTAAAAACTGTACGGTAAATATATTGAGTAGCTTCATTTCGTTGATTAGGGTGGGCTACTGAACATACGGTACAAGCGCAGCTGGCTTTTCCAGCTTAAGAAAAATAAAAGCAGACTTCCAACCGACATTATTCATAAAAATAAATTCCAGGTAAATTAAGGATTTAAGTGTAAAACTTAACAAAAGTCTTGCAAGAAAATCTATGCCATTCATGCACCACGGAGCCTTTAGCTAAAATCAGAAACCCAGAAGCTATAAAAGAATGTATCTGATATAAAGACATTATGATATTAAAAATACTTAAACTTTGCATATAGCCAAGAAACTTAAATGTAAGAAGGATCAATGATAGATTGGGGGGGGGGGGTATTTGTAATGCAGAAGACAAAGGTCATGATATATACAGAGCTCATAGGAAGTGACAAGACAAAGGCAACCCAGTAGATAGATGGGTAAAGGATAGGAACAGGTGACTTAGGGAAGAGCCAACCCAAAGGGCTCGAAATCTGAAACATGAAAACATGCTCAAATTCACAACAGAGTGGGAAATTAAAATTCAAGCCACACTCATCAATCTGGCAGACAGTGGGAAGATACTGTTGCTGTGAGGAAAAGGGAGCTCAGATATTGCTGCTAAAACGGGTGTTTTGGTTGTTTTTTGGAAAGCTTGTTCAGCCAACACTGGAACCTTGAGGGACATTCCCCATCTCCTCCTCATCCGGGTCATTTCAGATTGGCCAATCAGAAGTGTGTTTGCAAGAGCTCTCCCACTTTCTCACACCATCCTCCCTGCCAGAGTCTTGTAATTTGAAAAAAAAAAAAAAAAAAACAAAACAATGACCATAGATTATTTTCTGAATGTTTGATAGTCTCTCTCCCTCAAGTCTAAGGAATATGTCCGTGTGCCACACCTTCTCTGCCTCAGCTATGATGGCCTAAAATATTATGAAGACCCTTTCCCTTGCCCTGGCCGCCATAGCTTGGTGGTTGAGCATCAACCTATGAACCAGGAGGTCACGGTTGGATTTCCGGTCAGGGCACATGACTGAGTTGTGGGCTCCATCCCCAGTGTAGGGTGTGCTGGAGGCAGCCAGTCAGTGATTCATCATTGATGTTTCTATCTCTTCCTCCCTCTCCTTTCATCTCTGAAATCAATAAAAATACATTTTTTTTTTTAAAAAAAAGACCCTTTCTCCAAGATTCCTATCACTTCCAGTTAGCCAGTCAATTTTTCACAGATGATCAGAATTGATTGCAGAGCGGCCAGACTGGTCATTTCCTGTACCCCCCGGGAGATTAAATTGATGGGCAAGAAGAAAGCAACGGTTGGAACAGATGCCTCTTTGAGGGCATGCATCCCTCGTCTGCAGATGCCCTCCGCCAACCCTCCTAAGGTGAATGGGGACCAGAGAGTTCCCTGGGGGACAGGGAGGAGCTGGTGAGGGACC